TAAAGAATGTTTAAAAGTGTCTTTACTTTTAGGTAATTCTGAGAGCAAAGATAATTGAAACCATCTTACATCCAAATGACAATGATATAAATGATAATAAATGTTATTCTGTAAAAATAAGAAGAAAAATGTATGTTTTAATATATATTATTAATTATGCTATTTTTATCCAATGCTATTGAATACAATTTGAAATTTTTGAACATGATGGTTCAGTTATAAATTTACATATACAGGGTGATTTTTTAAGCATGCTCGCCCCATTTTTATGCTTAAATTATGCATATATTCAAATTTCGATTTTTGGAATATTTAAGTGTAGTTAAAGGCGATATTTTTAAGTACTTAGATTTTYCACAACTTTTAAGGAGTATCCTGTAGCGATACCAACTTTGGTTTTTCAAATGACAACCTATATGTTTTAAAGCAAAATGTGATTCAGATAATTTTTCTGAAAATTTTGACATATTGCAATCAAAATTCGAACGAAAACTTCCAGAGTTATTCTACTTGAAATACTAAGGAATAAGGATAAAAGTCTAATACTTAAATGCCTACGTTGTAAATGGATACACGTACATATTTCGCATTTGTGCTATTGTACACTATTGTTCGGTATTTTATTATAAGTAGGTATACCTATGCTATACAAATATTAACGTTGCCTATAAGGTATAGGTAACATGGATAAAATAAAAAGGATATTATTTTATTCATATTTTCTTTTCTTTTGAAAATTGTCAGATGCAATATTTGGCCATTTAGTAATAAGAAGTGATTATTAACAAATATTTTATTTTTATATTGTATACCGAATTATAATTATCGTATCCATTTACAACGTAGGCATTTAAGTATTAGACTTTTATCCTTATTCCTTAGTATTTCAAGTAGAATAACTCTGGAAGCTTTCGTTCGAATTTTGATTGCAATATGTCAAAATTTTCAGAAAAATTATCTGAATCACATTTTGCTTTAAAACATATAGGTTGTCATTTGAAAAACCAAAGTTGGTATCGCTACAGGATACTCCTTAAAAGTTGTGAAAAATCTAAGTACTCAAAAATATCGCCTTTAACTACACTTAAATATTCCAAAAATCAAAATTTGAATGTATGCATAATTTAAGCATAAAAATGGGGCGAGCATGCTTAAAAAATCACCCTGTATAATTATATACAATTGTAAATTTATCAAAATAGTTAAATAACATATATTCATTAATAACTTCAAAGAACAAAATTAAATGCATTGAGACAGTTAATGATGGATACTAATCAAAAATCAAAACCCTACCATTTATATTAAAAATATTGTCATTCTTAAATTAATTTTCTTAAACATTATACATAAATATTGATTGTAAATGCTTGCAAACCTTCTGTTTTCTATGCATATAATATAAAGTAATTGACAAATATTAGTACATTATGTTGCCCAGAATATTTAAATACCATTTACTTATTTTTTATTGGTGTAGATACTACACAGTAGTTTGAAAAAATATATTATAATAATTAATAGCAAGTATGTTTAAAAAAAATGATTGCTACCATATAATAATGAATAAATTTGGTATTGTTATTTGTATGGAATAATTGTTTTTTTTTACCAAGAACCTACTTTAGATTTTCATATCTAACTATAAAAGATAATTGTTTATTTCACTGCCCCATCCTGTATAGTGAAAATATTTTACTTTGCAATCAGATGAAGATAGTGCATGTTGTATAATAGTTTCAGATAAATTATGAAACTGTCCAAGTGTAGAATATAAATGATTTAATTCAGATTCAATTTTTTTCCCATGACATTCAATCAACCAATTATAACTTTCGCACGCCTTCATTCTGGAAGTATAAAATAACAGATACAATAGGATCCAACAATTCTATTCATATAGGTATAGAAAATAAATAAATTACCTTTGAAGACAGTCTCTTAAAAATATAAGAAACTCAGAAATTTGCTGTCTAATACTATAAAAATTAATTGTTTTGCAATTACTTTGTTCGTGAGACCTGATTGTCTTATATTGATCTCGTACAACAGAACTTATGCTTAACAAATGTTTTCTGAACATGAAAGTAATATTAATTATTAATTTGTAGTAATATTACATTAATTACATACGTACTTTGCCATTCTGAATAGTATAGGAATATCGTACACAAAACTATTACCCTTATGAAACGAATTGCCAAACAATATCAAACGGTCTGATTGATTTTCATCATTATTTATAATTGAATTATTGAAGTTCTGTTCACTTCTAACAAATTGTTCATTAGAAATATTTGGTCGTCCTTTGCAGTTAAAACAATTAAATGATATTGTGGTCTGATCTAAATATTAATACATTCAAATATTAAATAAATATATATGTTGTACACAAAATAATATTATTTTAAGCACTGATCAAAAACCTATATAGATTATAGATATATTAGATAAATATTTTTCTGATATACTTACTTTCATTTTCTACATCACGTCCTGCTGAGAACAAATGCATGATATCCACAAAAGAGTGAAATTATGTTAAACGACGAAATTAGTAAAGCACTTGGGTAGAAACCTAAATGTCACCCTCAGAACCTCTACGGYCGTCCTGCCGAGAGTTGATACTCTCCAGTCTCTGCCGAATGTTACCAATGCACTTAGTTGGAAATTAGAAAAAACAGTAAGAATCAGAAAGGTATAGTCATATAGAATATATTATTTAATATTGTAAATTGAGATGTACTAATTACAGTAATTTGTATACTATAATGTTATCAGTTCCTTTCAAATGTCAYGTTCGTATGAACATTCTGGCGGGAAAATGTTAGTTCATGACATGACCACTTGGTACTTATCGCTTTTTTATGTTTGTAACCACATTTATTATATATATAYATACATAATATTATATTTAACTATTGTTCTGTGGTTTTATAGAGCCGCTGCCGCCTGTTGGTTTAAAGTACGATGATACGAATACAAAACACAAAGCACGGTAATAGATATCTAAATCCGTGTCACTAAGACGTACTTCCGGACTTCCCCCCCCTTGTCTACGCCACTGAGACGTAGTGTAGTAATAGTATTACAGTAATCTGGTACCGACTGTACCTAGACCATGGCTAAATATTTAGCCATGTATTTAGCCATGACCTAGACTACGAACTACGAATTGAAATACAGAGATGAATGAATYACTCAAATTTAATTAGTAATAATTATGATTAAACTTGTATTTTAATATTAATTTATAATTATAATCAACCCTTATGAATTAACATAATAGGAATCCAAGTTTAGTTAATATACTCTGAACGTCTGAAAAAATGGACATGGTAATGGTACATAATAAAATGAACAATTATTGTAATTAATATGATTAATTAAATAATCTTTATTACAGCTTATAGATCTGAGTATCTTACTGCCAAGTAGTAAGTTGRTAAATAAAAATATTATGATTTAAATATCAAAGTACCAGTTTAAGATTGGAATAAACGCAGTTTAACTCCCAAGCCAACATTTGGAATTTTATTTTTAAATTTGTATTTTTTATGATAGTTGAAAAAATCGCCAATCTTGATTTGTAAGTTATGGTCAAAAAACTTGTAATYGCTTGATTTTTGGAAATATTGTGTTTTAGAATTAAATTTTTTTTAGAATTTATTAATATTAATATTTTTGTGCTCTAAGTGTTGGAAAAATCATTAAAATTTACCTATTTAACTTGTTTCTTATATTATTGAATAAACCACCTAAAACCTACAGTTAAATTTTACTTCATAAAAATATTTAAGACCATCAAATTATGTCTTATTTTTCGACTTCAAGACACTAAGTGACTACTGAATTATCTACRTTATGTATAAAACCCAGAACCCTTAGATCATATACTTCTAAGATAAAACCAATAAGTTGGGTTCCWAAGTTGTACCTACAACTAAAGAAGAGATTATTTATTTATTAAGTAACGTTTAATTCATTTAAAATTAAAATTTTTTTATTCCATTTCATATTTTAAATTATTATTATTATTATTGATTCTAAATTTTGATAAATGTATTTGATCTATTCAGTATTCAGTTGAGATCTATTATCTGGTCCATTAACCATCAAAAATTAAAAAAAAAATGTTTGTAATAATAATGTTGGGTAGGTATGTATTCTAGTATACGATTAAATAAAAACATGTTTTGAATTTTTATGTTTATTAATAAATTGTTTATAAAAAAATTTAAGAGCTTTAGTGCTTTACAAACTATAATATCAGTAGTTCAGCAAATCAGTTAGCAGCAATCATATTTMATGTTTCATTGAATAAAGAATGCCTAATTATCAACCTGCCTATAACTCATAAAAATAAAATTGTGAACCAAAATGTATTATCTGACAATCAAAATTTTCAGGAAAAAAAACTATCAGAATCATGAACTATTTTTATTGTTAAATACAACAGTGTGCTTAAATAATTTCAAACTATTGTAAGTACATTTATGTTAATGATGAATTTTTTTTTTTAATTCCATTTAGTTAATTAATCCTCAAAAAATCACGTGATTTGGTATAAAATATAAAAATTACATATCATGTATATAATTATTTATTAAAAAATAAACAAATATAAGTATATTATACCTAATGTATAAAATATATTAGGTACTTACTGATAATACCAAACAATAATTTCATTGTAATGTAATACACAGATCAATACTTATTTTAGGTTAGGTCCTCTTGTTTAATGAAAAATATACTCTTAATTTATATAATAACAAGAAATAAATCTTATTTCATTCAGTATCAAAAATTTAAAAAAAATAAAAAAAAAACAGTTACAAAATATTGCTTTGTTCATTTAACTTGTCCAACTTGGCACAATTTGTTTAAATATCCACTGTTGATTAGCATTATTTGAATCACACGGTGTTAATATTACTTGATCAGATGATGGATGAACACTAAGACACTTTCTTGTAATTGTATGTTGTAACAACTTGTTAGTCTAAAAATAAGTGAATACAAGTATTAATTATATTTTATTTAATCTTATATTAATATTGCTTTGGAGTGTATTATAGTTGGTCGCATCATTGTCTTTCTGACTGCAATGT